CCCCTTCCCTTTCTCCTCTCCCCCCCCCACCGGGGGCCCTGTCCTGCTCCCCTCTCCCTTTCCTCCTCCTCTCCCCTTTCTTCTCCGGCGGTCGCCTCACCCCCCCCCCCCCCCCCCCCCCGCCTCCTTGGTGCTCGTTTCAGTTCAAAAAAGGATTTTCATGAAAATATTGTAATAAAACTTTAATTTTATAAGTCTATTTCCATTTATTTTGAGGTATTGCCTTATTTAACAGTTACTTAAATTGTCAGGAAAAGTAATGTCCTATGACAAAATGGAGGTCATTTTTGGATTCAGCGCACCAAAAAATAGTACGTGGAATAACCAAAACAGTTCTCGAAATTTTTTTTTTTGCAGACCTGTGTAATCATCAGTTACTGCAGTGTGGAAGAAAAGCTAACATAAGTATTATTCCAAGAACTGTGACTAACCTTTGCTAATGTGGCAAAGACCTTAGCATCAATTAGATCATTATATAAAATAATACTGCTTATGTATGTTTTTAATTTTGAAACACATAAGTACAGTAGCATTAGCATTTAAAAAACACAAATTAAAACAGTTAAAATTTAAAATCTTAATCCTTTAATATTTTAAACAAAAATCTTAAAAAAATATTTTAAAAAGCTATTTACAAAATATTTGCATTAGGTATTATCAATGTCATAGGTTAAGCTGAAGCGAATGTTGAAGCATTTCAAATGTCGTAGTTTTAAGGCCGTAATTTTTTGGATTAAAAAATTCACTCAGAGCAAATATTATAATCTATTTTCTTATTCTTTTGCTTGCTCTTGTCCTGCTTTCGGTTTCTTTAGGCAATTCAGCTGACAGAGTGGTATTTTCTTCTTTCTTTTTACCTCTTGTTTGCACTGTACATACTGAAAAACAAAACGGTATATGATACCAATATTTACAATTCTTCCTAGAGAAGGTAAATTATTTGGAACACACATACACACACAGAACTTTGGAATAATCCAATATGATTAAAATTAATTAAAATTCAAGAAAAGCTTCAGCATATGTTTAAGAAATTCCGAAGGAGGGCTGTATGCTATTATTTCTCTAAAGCCCTAGTAAATATAAGTTCCAAAATGTACAGAACAGAATAACAGTGCCTGAGTAATTAATTTTATATTATTTCATTCAAACTGTGATAGCATTAATCAATCTGACGCCTTTTAGATATATTGGTGCTATAATACCAAGAGTTTTGAAAACTGTAATCATAACACGTCTACAAATTTTCAGGCTAAAAAAAGAATATTATCTGGGAGTGTTAAGAGAACACTGCATTTCTGGGTAGGACAATTTAGTCTATTCCTATGAGCAAAACAAAATATCCTTCTTCAACAGTCAATAGACTCAATTGAAAGATATACAGCACACATGTAACTAATGACCAATTATCAAAACAGCTCCTTCAGAATTTTCTGATAATTCCTGCATCGGTGAGGAAAGTGGAATTGTAAGTTGCATGTCCATAGTCAAGAAAAAAACTACTCATATTTTAAGTGTATATATTGATCTGGACTGACTTAATTTCTCAATGTTACTCTTGTGTATTGGTCTCCGAATGCAATTCAAGGTGTTGGTTATTACCTTTAAAGCCCTACATGGCTTAGGGCCAGCATACCTGCGAGACCGCCTACTGCTACATACCTCCAAGCGGCCAGTAAGATCCCAGATTGGGCCTCCTTCGGATCCCTTCAGCCAGACTGTCGGCTGGCGGGCTCCGGGAGAATAGCCTTCTCTGTGGCTGCTCCAACCCTCTGGAATCAACTACCTCCAGAGATCCGGACCATACCCACTTTCATGACCTTCAGGAAAGCTGTTAAGACTTGGCTGTTCCGGCAGGCCTGGGGCTGTTGACCTCATTGTTGAGGTCCAGCCCCGGTTAGAGTGAATGCATGTTGTGATTTTAAACTGTCTTTCTTTTTATCTTATTATTTTTTTCTTTCTCTTTTTCTTTTGTAAGCCGCCCGGAGTCCTTCGGGATTGGGCGGCATATAAATTTTAATAATAAAATAAATAAATAATAAATTAAGATTCCAGAATAATGTTACAACTGAAAATCCCAAACAGAATTTGGGAGCAGAAAAGCAAAGAGAAAACCTATTTTACTAGATTATCTCTTTAATTCTAAAGAGTAAGAATGAAGCTTACTAGTTTAAGTCATAAAAGATAACATACCTGTTTTAGATACCGTTGATTTACTTTCCAGAATTACATTTTTCACCATGTTAGCAATGGTACTTGTTTCTGAATTGTTAATCTGTTTTCTTTTCGCACGTTCTGATGAACTCTTTTGCACCAGCATACTTGAGTGCTTAAGATTTTTATTTTGGTCATAATTAGATGAATCATTTTTATTGATGTTTTGAGTCATGGTTTTTATTTGAAGAACTTTCGGTGCCTTGCCCATTAAGGAGACTTTTTTATTTGAAACATTATTTAGAATTTGTTCATCAGGAAAATTATCACTGCCTCCAGATAGTGAACATTTTTCTTCAGCAGCCTCAAGTTTATTAATTTTTCTTCTACCTCTTCTTTGATTTATCACAGTTACCACAGCTGTTTCCTGCAAATCTTTGTTTTGGGTTTCACGAACAAGTTCTTCTTTTGGAATAATGTCCTTTCGTCTGAGAGAGCGTGTCTTTATATTGCATGTACCTGAAAGTTTTGCTAATTCCCTTTTCCCAACAGAAACTTTGCAATTTCCATTTTGATTTTCATTACAAGATAATGGTGACAAAGTGATGCTCACTTTCAAGGAGGGAGAAACTAGTGATGTAATATTTGTTTCTTCTTTTTGCTTCTTTGATTGGCGTTTTCCAAAATTGTTTTCTAAAGGACCAACATTATCTGTTACTAGTGGACTCTTTTTACTGTTAATTCTTAGTTCATCATTACTCATTGCTGACATTCCACAAGGTGTTAATTGTTTCCTTTTATTTCTGGTTGTATTTTGTTTTGATACAGTTTTTGAATTTGCCTTTCCATTTTGCTGAATGTCATCATCAATACATTCAGATTTTTTACTGGAAGAAACTGAGTTCGCTGAAATTTCAGGAACAGCTTTCCTTTTTCTACAGTTGTAGGTGAAATTCTCATTTGCATTATTTGCTGTCTTCAAATCTTCATTTGGCTGCTCATCGGAATGTTCCCCTCTGTTTGGACAAGTGTCGTTTTTGACAGAAAGGATTTTCTGAAATACAACAGTGTTTCTTGTTCTTCTACCTACTTTTGATTGATCCTCCTTTGCAAGACAAGCATTTTTGCCATCCATAGTTTCCTCTATTATAGGGATTATGTGTGTACTGTCAGAATTTATAGAAATGTCACCAGAAATATTTTTTTTACGTCTGCCTTGCCTGGGTGGATTCTCTTTCACTGTCCTTTGGCTCTTCGGTGAACAGGATTTTTGAGTATCTCTCTTCCCTCTTGTCCTTTTGGACTGATTATCCTCTTGTCTGATGGCCATATTTGGACCTTGGACATCAGCTTCTTTAATACCGGATGTTTCATTGACTTGCTTGCTTCTTCCTCTTCTGGGTGGATTTTCTTTTACTACCTTTTTTGGCGGAATGCGCCCTTCACGACTTTGCACATTTTCTAATGGCAACATTTCAGATTCTTCAAATTTTTCTTTTTGAACTTGTGGCAAAGAACATCTGCCTGGGGATGAAGGGCATTTGCTCACTGCTGAATCTCCAGAAGTATTATTTTCTAAAGGAATAGATTTGAGGAGAACTTGATCTACCTTTCTCCTTCTGCCTCTTCTGGGCTGGTTTTCTTTTAGACTGACAATCACATCATGATCTTTCCCATCAGAGGCCCGATTGTTTTCACTTTCTACAGAAGGACCTAAAACTGATTTTTTGCCTCTACCTCTGCTACGCAGATTCTTTCTTGATAGCTTTTCTATTCTGGGTGGACTGGGCTCCACAGGAGTTTGCATGATTTCTAGGGAAACCTTTGGAATCCCATTACAAATGTTTTCAGTTTGACTTTCTTCTTCTTTCTGAATATTACTCTCATATCTAAGTGCACGTTTTTCTTCAGAAGCCTTAAAGGACTCCCTAAGTAGAAATTGTACTTTTTTCTTCTTCACTAAATTTTCTTCCACTGCTGTTATATTATTTTCTGAAGCTTCGGTTTTACCTATTTTAGATATTGTACATTTTTGCTTTTCATGCCTATCTGCATTCAAAGTTGTGATTAATGTTGATTCTGTTGCGGCAATCTTTCTTCTCTTATTTCTTTTATTACTTTCTTCCTCTGACACTGTATCATTCACTTTACCTTTGGCAAATGTCTTTACATCACTTGCACTCTTTTTTACATTTCTAGATCTTAGCCTTGTTTTGGCAGTTAAATCACTTTCGTTTTCTTGAATTGGTCCATTTTCTTCCAAATCCATACTTGTTACAGTTTTTCCTTTTCTTTTAGTTGGCACTTTTCTCCTGTTTACAGGCTGTTTTTCCACTGTTACTTCCTTTAAAGATTTTTCTAATTCCTGAGTATAGCTTATGTTGTCAGATCCTATATTCCCATTTGTTTCAACGCATTGCTTTTTTGGTCTTCCTCTTTTAGATAATTTGGTTGTTTCAATTGNCCCCTACCGCCCTCCATGAAAGCTGGAACGCCCACTAGTGGGCGGTAGGGACCAGGTTGACTACCACTGGTTTACAGCATCCTGGCTGGGGAATTCTGGGAGTTGAAATCCAGACATTTTAAACCTTCAAGGTGGAGAAATGTTGCTTTAGAGTGGTATTTTAGGACTGGAAATTGTTTCAGAGAACACCTTCCTTTACACTTGTATTACTACCATATTTTTCAGAGTATAAGACACACCGGAGTATAAGAAGCACCAAGATTTTGAAGAGGCAGATTAAAAAAAGTTTTTGCACTATGCAAACCTCCTAAAAACGGCCCGTTTTTCAAAAAAAGAAAAACGGCATGAATAGCCTTTAGGAGGCTTGTAGAGTGCTCCTGTTTTTTGCTCATTTCTGACGTCCCCAGTCCCCAGAAGCACTCTGAAAGCCTCCTAAAGGCTATGCACAGCCATTTTGGTGAAGGGGAGGGGTTTCAGCAGGCAAAAAAATGCTACATTCAGTGTACAAGGCGCACCGATTTTCAGCCTCTTTTTTTGAGGGGAAAAAGGTAAGTCTTATACTCCAAAAAATACGGTATTCAAAATTTACACAACCGGTTCTCCAGAACTGGTCAGAACCTGCTGAATACCACCTCTGGCTATATCAAGTAAAAGCATAAAGTAGCTGCGACTAATGCAAATTTATGACTCATAAAACCGCTTAGCACCATGGTGAACTTACGGCACACAAGGCGTTGCCGTCAGCTTCAGTCCAGCTTACTTTGGCCTTCATTTTTGACCATTTTCCGCCCTCCGTAGGCTTCAAGAGGCTTCCCTGAAGCCCCCAGAGGGAGAAAAATGCCCTAACGCACAAACCGGAAGTCTGTTGCCAAACTCCTGTTTGCGCGCTGAGTTGTTATTAAAACAGCAACATTTTAATATTTATATGCATGGCTAATATCTTTTCTTAGTTATGTTTAACGAAATGACACTTAAGGGGAATTACAGAAAGCCTTGTAGAACATTTTAATTTCACGTAAAGCCTTGAAGAATCCCTATCTGAAAATCACTCAGATGGACTTTAGTTCTGGCCTACTAAATCCTTGACAAAATATCATGTTGATCTATGTAGATCTGAAATTACAGAAATGGCTTTTGAAGGATTATTTGACCAGGCACAAAACAGCAAAGGCATATAAGACAATTAGTTACACTGCACAAGCGTGTAAAGGCGTTAAAACCTGGCTGTTCCGGCAGGCCTGGGGCTGATGAGTTCCCAGCCCCACTTGAATTGTTGCGGCTGTTGATGAGTTTTTAATTTGTTTCTTTTTCCATTTGTCTTGTCTTCTTGTTTTTTGTACTTCCCCTTTTCCCTATTTAGTTTGTTAGCCGCCCTGAGTCCCCTNGTCTGGCTCTGACTTTTCCTTAGGTGTATTCGAGAGCCTCTTGACTGCTGAAAGCGCCTCAACTGGGTCTGACTTTTGCTTTGGTGTCCTCAAAATCCTATTGACCCCTGAAAGTGTCTCATCAGATTCAGATTTTTCCTTAGGTGTCCTCAAAAGCCTCTTGACCCCTGAAAGCATCTCATCAGATTCAGATTTTTGTTCAGGCGTCTCTAAGAGCCTCTTGACTGCTGAAAGCACCTCAACTGGATCTGACTTTTGCTTTGGTGTCCTCAAAAGCCTCTTGACCCCTGAAAGTGTCTCATCAGATTCAGATTTTTCCTTAGGTGTCCTCAAGAGCCTCTTGACTCCTGAAAGAGCCTCAATTGGCTCTGACTTTTCCTTAGGTGTATTCGAGAGCCTCTTGACTGCTGAAAGTGCCTCGACTGGGTCTGACTTTTGCTTTGGTGTCCTCAAAATCCTCTTGACCCCTGAAAGCATCTCATCAGATTCGGATTTTTGTTCAGGTGTCTCTAAGAGCCTCTTGACTCCTGAAAGAGCCTCAATTGGCTCTGACTTTTCCTTAGGTGTCTTCAAGAATCTTTTGACTGCTGAAAGCGCCTCAACTGGGTCTGACTTTTGCTTTGGTGTCCTCAAAATCTTATTGACCCCTGAAAGTGTCTCATCAGATTCAGATTTTTCCTTAGGTGTCCTCAAAAGCCTCTTGACTCCTGAAAGCATCTCATCAGATTCAGATTTTTGTTCAGGGGTCTCTAAGAGCTTCTTGACTTCTGAAAGCACCTCGTCTGGCTCTGAGTTTTCCTTAGGTGTATTCGAGAGCCTCTTGACTGCTGAAAGCGCCTCAACTGGGTCTGACTTTTCCTTAGGTGTCTTCAAGAGTCTTTTGACTGCTGAAAGCTCCTCGATTGGCTCTGACTTTTGTTTTGGTGTCCTCAAAAGCCTCTTGACCCCTGAAAGCATCTCATCAGATTCGGATTTTTGTTCAGGGGTCTCTAAGAGCCTCTTGACTTCTGAAAGCATCTCGTCTGGCTCTGACTTTTCCTTAGGTGTATTCGAGAGCCTCTTGACTGCTGAAAGCGCCTCAACTGGGTCTGACTT